CTTATTTATTTACTTATTAATTAAATTAATTAATTTATTTACCTACTTATTTAATTAATTAATTTATTTACTTACTTATTTATTTAATTAATTAATTTATTTACTTACTTATTTATTTAATTAATTAATTTATTTACTTATTTAGTTTATTTATTTATTTACTTATTTAATTTATTTATTTATTTACTTACCTATTTAATTTATTTATTTACTTATTTATTTAATTTATTTACTTACTTATTTAATTAATTTATTTACTTATTTATTTAATTAATTAATTTCTTTATTTACTTATTTAATTTATTTATTTATTTACTTATTTTATTTATTTATTTATTTACTTACTTTTTTAATTTATTAATTTATTTACTTACTTATTTAATTAATTTATTTATTTACTTACTTATTTAATTAATTAATCAATTTATTTAATTATTAACTTACTTATTAATTTAATTCATTTATTTATTTACCTACTTATTTAATTAATTTATTTATTTACTTACTTATTTATTTAATTAATTAATTTACTTACTTATTTAGTTTATTTATTTATTTACTTATTTAATTTATTTATTTATTTACTTACCTATTTAATTTATTTATTTACTTATTTATTTAATTTATTTACTTACTTATTTAATTAATTTATTTACTTATTTATTTAATTAATTAATTTCTTTATTTACTTATTTAATTTATTTATTTATTTACTTATTTTATTTATTAATTAATTAATTAACTTACTTACTTATTTAATTTATTTATTTATTTACTTATTTAATTTATTTATTTATTTACTTACTTATTTAATTAATTAATCAATTTATTTACTTACTTATTAATTTAATTTATTTATTTACTTACTTATTTAATTAATTAATTAATTAATTAACTTACTTATTAATTTAATTTATTTATTTATTTACTTACTTGTTTATTTAATTTATTTATTTATTTATTTTTTTACTTATTTAATTTATTTATTTATTTACTTATTTAATTAATGAATTTATTTATTTACTTACTTACTTACTTATTTATTTATTCATAGCTGGACAGACACAAGAAACTATTTAAAACCAAACAAACTGCAGCTTAAAAAGTTATTAAAAGCATTTTTCATTAATTTACTCTAATGAAAGAAACACTTAACACTGGTCTTCATTTTATTTGTATTTTGTAGTCTTGATGCAATGTGAGTAGAAACAAAGTAATAGTGAAAGAAGTGCTATAGTTCGATCATTTCACCACTAAACCAACACATTTGGTAGCATCATCATCATCACAGCTGATTTAAATTCATATTGCACAGTGGATCGTATGCTTGAAGCGTTCTCCAAATGTTCCTGTTAATCTTGCTTATTTCATCTTAATCCATACAGTTGTGTTTTGGAGCTTGGTATGAACATTCACACACAATGTTTAGTTGTTTTTGATTCCTTTTCTAGACTCGCAAGGTCTCAAAACTCTCTGGATGAGAGAGCTTGTGGATTTCATAAGCTCAATTATGTGGCAACAATACAAAGTTAGGCATCAGAGCACATCAGGTCCTCAAGCAGGTAGAGCTCTTCTTCCTGAAGGATATCAATGAATCGAGCTTTTGCTTTCTTACCTTTTAAACCCACAGAGTCATAAATCTTCCTCATATTATGCTGACTGGTCACGTTAGTCTGTGTGATTTCAGAATACAGCTCTTTATGAATTATTCTCTGGTCTAGAAGTTTATCCGCAATGCTCTGCACATTGGTAACTCTTTCAATGAAAGCCAATCTGTGAGCATCAAAAAAAATCGTTTTGTCATTGTCAGAGTTCAGTTTCGGCTCTTCATGGACTTGCTTCAAGTGATCTGAATCTTGGTCTTGAAGATCCCGTGCAGACGCTTCAGAGTGACGGATGCTCACCCTATAGAACACAGATGATTATGATGAACCGGATGACTAATCTATTACACAGAAAACACTTTACAGAATACAGAAAAGATCTTACTGTCCCTGTTTGAAGTGAATCTTCTCTTTCTTATTACTGCATTGGAGAGAAATCAGAGGATAAATGATTACTGTGTGTTGTTTTCCAACAGAGATCTTTAATATCAAGGAAGAAATAAAGCCGAGGTGCAGAAACCTAAACTCTGACTCTTTTGTTTTCAGCAAGAACAGACTGCTGGCAGAATTTAAGCCCGTCTTGGTTACACTCAATTCATTCTAGAAGATCATCTGCCGGCTGACCCAGACTCCAGAGGACGGCCTGGATCTGGTCATGATCCTCTAGCAGAGTCAGCACAACGTGCACATATATGGATGTGGTCATCTTTAGTTCTGCCATCATCCAATCAGCATCTTTCTTCAGACAAAAACAAACCATCCAACACAGCAAAGACACAGAGCAGATGGTCAGGAGGGTTTCATTGATCTTCTGCTTAGTCTTTTACTTTCAACACACTGTCCCAAAGAAACCCTCAATGTCAGCGAAACACAGAGGTTCTTTAATGCGATCCCTATTAGCCAGATTTAGTTCAAAATGGCAGCATTTCTGTCTGTTCTATGATTTAAATTGAAGCGAGTCCACCAAAATGACATTTTGAGCAGAAATTGAGGCATTCTACAAGGTAAAACTATTTTTAAGGCAGCATTTATTTCATGAAAACATCTGTTTTTACTGTTTTACCTCAGTGTCTCCAGTTGACAGTCTGGACTCTTCAGTCCATCAGAGAGAAGCTTCTTCACTCCTGAATCCTGCAGGTCATTGTTACTCAGCTCCAGCTCTCTCAGGGCACAGATTGAGGATTGTAGAGCTGAACACAACCCCTCAAACGCATCAGGAGTGAGATTACACATGACCTGAGAAAGATCTGAGAAAGAAGAACACAGATTTGTGACGACTCCAGGATTCTGGATGTGGCAGATCCTGATTGGGTGGCTGCTTGCTCACTAATTGGTTCAAAGCATGTAAATAAGAGTGATGTGTTAGCTTCTAGAGGACGCTGTGGCTGCTTGTACGTCCTCGTGTCAAGACCTTCTCGTTCATTCTGTAACCCTGTGATTCCGTTTTGCATTATTTATATCATGTAAAGTTAGTTGTCATTATATCTTAAAATGTAATTTTATTCACAGCTACTCAGCTAACATGAAAACGACTGATTTATTTCCTAGTTCCTCTGAAAGATGTTTCTGCTGCTACACACGAGTTAGGCAAGCTCTCGTGTATTTTAACTCAACACGTTACACGACGTCTTTCACATATATCTGGAATATGCCTGTGTAAGTAACATGAATCGCTCACATATCTTTTTTTTCTGCTGGTGAAGTGTGTGTGTGTGTGTGTTTACAGCTGTTTGACTGATAAATATGAATTTGTAGCTAACCCGTTAGCGATGGCAAACATCATTTCCCATTGTTTACATCTTTACCACAACACACCGTTGAGGCTAGACACTGTGCATGTCATAATCAATTTTAACAAATAAAAACTCTTACAGGTCATGACTCAGAGTTCACAGCGTTTGCTTGTAGTTGCGCCATCTTTGAGGAGATTTTAACCGAATCCAGCACTGATCTGGGAGAGATCCCTGCTGAAAAATCTAGCTTAAACCAGCCTAGGCTGGTTAGCTAGTTTTAACTGGTCGGCCAGGCTGGTTTTAGAGGGGTTTTGGCCACTTCCAGGCTGGTTTCCAGCCATTTCCAGCCTGGTCTTAGCTGGTCAGGCTGGGAGATGACCAGCTAAAACCAGCTTGACCTGCCTAGCCAAGCTGGGAGTCCAGCCAAAACCAGCTATATCCAGCCTAAACCAGGCTGGTCAAGCTAGTTTTAGCTGGATTTGGCTGGTCATTTTCCAGCCTGACCAGCCGAAATAGCCAAAAGCCCTCTAAAACCAGGCTGGTTGACCAGCTAAAACCAGCCAAACAGCCTAGGCTGGTTTAAGCTGGATTTTTCAGCAGGGATCCTGGAGCTGTTTTGTCAATAGTATGTAGTTTATAGTTCTCTGGAACATAATTAATAGTCAACTGTAAGCACTTCTGTGTTTGGGTCGTGTCATTTGGAAGCCCAAATACAGAAACAGTCGAAGCTCTGTGGAAACAGCAGGACGGCATTTCTCCCTCTGGTGTAACGTTACAGCGCCTCTGGCCACGCCCCTTACCTGTGACTTTTGTGATCTCACAGGGAGCGGGAGTATTTTTTGTAGTCCCCAAAATTCGTTCATTGTAGGCTTTGCTAAGCTAACTCTGTAAAAACCGAGGTCTCCCTTTGCATTGAACTTTGAGCATTTTACACTCAGAGATGCCGCTTATGTTCACACAGCTACATTACACATCAACTACAGTTTAAAATATGATAGTGTAGTGGACCACCCCTTTAAGTTCTTTATCTTCTTCATTTATCCCAAGACATTTGTTTGTTGGCTTGATTTGTTGTTCAATAGTTCTATGTATAATAAATCAGTTGTATATCTCGTTTTTTTTAAATTAAATTAACTAATTGTAACTATATATACATCTTTTTAATAGTTTAACAATACCCTTTGTTCTAAAAAACACAAACCGAAAACAATAAATCATATTTGTACTGTTTAAAAATACACTTGTTTCTCTTTTTAGAATATTTCGTTATAAAATCGTTTAATAGTATTATTACATTAATACTTTAAAAACATTTTGTTTTGTCAAAAACATTAATTTTAACTAATTGTAACTCTATATACATCTTTTAAATAGTTTAACAACACCTTTTGTTCTAAAAACAATCAAACCGAAAAACACTAAATCGTATTGGTAGCCTACTGTTTTGAAATTGAAATTTTTGAAAACACTTGAAATTGTTTAAGTCTTAAAATACTTGGTACATTTTTACCTTAGCGATCGTTGTTTCAATATCTTAACAAAATTATTTATCTTAATAAAATAAGACTGCCTTTTTTAAATGTGATATTAACAGATTAAACATATCCGACACCAAAAACGTTATGGCATCGTGCACATATTTATACCGTCATCTACATCTTCAATATTTGTATGAGGGTAATCAATCAATCATTTTGACACATGGTGCCCATAAGCCTCTCTAGGGTGCCCTCATGTGGTTCCTTTGGGGTACTGCAGACATACAATTTAGACAGGAAGTGGCATAACACAGCAGATGCTGTGGGTGGGTGTTTTATGCTCTTAATATATCAATATTAACGTAAGAAAGTAGCGATTTCACACATTTAGTTTATAATTCGGTTGTATTATCATTGAGCATTCAGTGTGACTTGTGACATGTAGTTTTGTAAGTTAAATGGCTTTTTATGAAGGTCTACTGGATTGTGCTCTTAAGCATGGCCATGCGGTTGATTTGATTTTCTATTTTATTTAGATGTTGTATGTCTGCAGCAAGCAATGCACCTAAAAGGGCCGTGTTGTGTATTATTTCAGGCATGTCTCTATGTTCATTTGTTAATTGTGACTGTTGTGTTTCAGAATGTGACAGCATGGGATTTCACTGACTTCGAAGACATGGACATCTGTAGTCTAGTTATTCGCCTAGTTTTTTATTTATTTTATTTATTTATACAGGGACAATGTACAACATGACATGTTGTGCCAGAGTTAGCTATAAAGCTAATTTACATCAGTAAATTTGTAAAGTTATTCGCCTAGTTATTAGTCTAGTTATCCGCTTTCATCTAAGAGTTTCCTGTAACTTTACCTGCAGTTCGGCAGTTTCACATTCGCTCATGAACATTTCATTC